GATTTCCACTCCAATTCGGGGAAAACAAAGAAAACGTAGTGCGTGACCTTCCATTTAAATATAAGCACACGAGAAATTCCAATCAAAAGCCATTCACACAATATGTATGCAGAGAGAGTATTCAGTGGTTCCTGAGCATTTTATTTTTGCAATGAAAGCGAATAAACTCTGGATATGTAGACGCAAAAGGTTAGCTAAAACACTGGATTGGTTGTTGGACAATGCGCAGTTAATGAAAACATTGTGATAAAAGCGTTTAATGATACGGCGAATACCTATGATAATGACCTTAATGTAAGATAAAACACGAAGAACATCTTGTTAAACGGGAAATGCATTAAATATAGGAACAAAAAACAAATAAAAAGGATTTCCCAAAAAACAAAAAAAGTGTTTGCGAAAACCAAGGTGAGAAGGACTGGCTTACTTTGAAACGATTCTCGACAGAGGCATGAGTAAAGTCGACCACTAGCTCGAACGGTTTGTTGCGATAGGCATCCAAAGTGACGGAGACGAGACAGATAATCAAAGGGTATTCTACGCGTTGGTATTCTTGAGATCTAAAGTAGTGATAAGATAGGTAAAACAATGGGAGCAGTTGAAAAACATTTTCACGTGTATATGATGCGTGACGGCATGGGGCATCCAGTTGGAACATTAGCAGCAATAAATGACGCAGTAGCGAAAATGACATTAACGTGAGAACATTTTCGAAATTTCAACCGGTTAAAATAACGAAATAAAAGAATGATTTGAAACAAGTTGAAAAAGCAAGCAAATTGTATTAGTAGCTCCCATTACGCTATCTACCCTATCTTTGATTGAAATTAAAGCAATAAAGATATTTTTAGTGACGGGAAAAACAACAGAACGCGAGCTGAGGGTATCTGCATCATAGTGATATTGCTAACGAAGTAATGAGATAGCAGATATCGTGAGTGATATTACCCAGTTGGCGTAATGTCTTACCGGAACTAGGAAACATTATTCAGTGAGGAACCAGGGTTCTATCATAAAGTTATTTAAAGTTGAACCAATAAATCTATTCTGAAAACTGGTGTATAATCAAATAGTGCGATTAAAATGCTAAAATAGATCTATTTATTTGAAGGAGCTACGTAAGTTACACCTGAAAATGGGAGTTTTTCAGTTCACTTAAACTCCACTAAAGCAATTTAGTTCCACGAAAACAAGAAAGGGACGGAATTGAGTTGATGTGCTTTGGCATCTTCAAAGCCAGTCTAACTGGAAAATGCAACGGATCGATCGAAATAAGGTACGTTTATTCGGACACTATTTTAAGCCTTTAAAAACAAAAAAAACAATGCTTAAATGATGCTTTCTAGTTGACAAAACGTGATGAACAGCATCAGTGGGACAAAAAGCATCATCCTCTTTGAGTCACTTTAACTAACTTGTAACGTCTTGCAATATAATAGAATACCGGATTTCCAAATCGACTGGTTCCCGCCTGATAGAACACATTTAACGACTTCAATCGTTTGAATTCGTCACTATCTCGGAATTGGTAGCCACGCAGAACCCAATCTTCCAGACGATTAGAGGGCAAATCCATACAATTCCATCTAAAAAGATAACAATAGCGGCTTTTTATCCATCGTATTCTTCTATGCAACCGACTGACAATTCGTAAATCTTCTCAAGGAATCACATCATCAAAATCTGACATCAGCGCCCCAAAATAGAATAAATAAAACGTAGTCGTTTTTTTGTTTTGTTCCATGCCACTTCACCGAATCAAAGTCTGCTTATTGTTGCTCTAACATGTGGGAAAAGGGTCTAAGGAATGAGGCTAACATATTGATATTGTCTAAAAATTGGCATGCAATAAACAGAAAAAGCATCTATAATCCACATAAATATATATTTAGGAGTTGGCCGTTGATCACCGTGATCGGCGATAAAGGTTTAGGCTTCCAAACAGAAGGTGATGATACTAGTCCCAACAGGGACACGGAAATAGTACGCTCTGGTGATAAGCGCTAGTGAAGAAATGAAACAAGAGTCCAATGCTTTATTGGCTTTTACACGACATGCTTCGATTAGGCACAGTCACTTAGTAGCTCTATGGTGTTGCCAACTATGTAAATTAAATAGTGAATGGGTCTCAGTAACGACGATAAAATAACCTAAGATAATTGTTGTATGTGTGAACCAGTTTGAAAGACTTCGTTTATTTATCATGTATGTACTTTCCGCATGAGGAGTCAACGTGCCAAACATTACCAAAAAGCTCTCAAACTATTATCTAATTACATCATCCTTGTCAGGAATAATCACTAGTCCACGGGGGCTTCGAGCCACGAGGGGGTTTTAAGTCGAACGCGCAAACCATTTGAGCTAATCGGGTTGATATTCAGCAGCTACCGTCAGATGTACTGGACTTCATATATTATGTATCAGAGAGATAAGAAACATTTTCGAATTTTATTTGTCAAAGGAAAGATGTAGTAGCCGGCAAACAGTACCGGACAGTTCTTACTTCCTTATCTGAATTTACTAGCAGTGATACTGCTTTTGTTGCTGCCGAGGCATGAACTACTAATCTTTGGGTTGGGAATAGAAACACAATCCCTTGAGTGCAGGATTACATGAAGTAAATCATCTTGCTGGTAACTTCAGGCGAACTCACTTCATGGGTCTTGTTATTGTTGCTCTTTCAGCAATGATATGTACAGGACGTGTGGGGACTAGATGAACTGTCAGTGAAGGAGGTTCGCATAAAAACAATGGGACAGAAACCTTGGTATCTGCAAATTCACTACCTGTATAGAGGATTCGTTCGAGTTGGACATAATACTCGACAGTTTTTAAATATTTGTTTGAACAAACGCAAAGAGCACGATGTAAAAAAGACAGAGTAGCAAACTAGCTGATTTTCACTTTTTAGTAAAAGTGCCAATATATATAATGGTAGTAGTAGTGAAGGAAAAAAGCACATCACAAATTGTTAGAGATTTCACTGGATGTGGGATTAACATTGGTCAAATGCACTCTTGATGAAGATAGGCGCACTCTCTACATCCGAACAAATCGCGCACTAATTTATCTAACCGCCTAAAAGCATGCTCATCGGTCCCCGAAGCTCAATGAGATGCCGTTAAATGACCGAATTTTAGTGAATGTTAATCCGTTGTCCTTGAGTGACACTTGTGAACCATATCCACGCATTTCAGTTTGACCTCCATTCACAAATGGGAAGATAAAAAGCATTTGGCAACCGAATCGTTTCGGTTCCAAATGAGTGCAAAGAAACAGCAAGTTATTTGTTCTCTAGGCTATCGCTATGAGGAAAGCCTGAAATGCTGCCGCTAGGAAAGCAAAAACACCGCACAAAACAAAATCTACAGTTTTCAGACTGAAAAAGTGATATAAAAACCGGTACATATCATCATCACTCTCGTAGTGATTAGCTTTTGTGAAAAGAAGATGATAACATAAAGGATATTGCGATGTTACGGGGTAATTGTTTGGTACTCGTATCTTTTACAGAACAGAAACGTGCGTTTCCTGAACCAGAGCATACATGAAGACGAGTATCGAGAACCTTTAGTCTGAATGGGCGACGGGGGTACCCCGAATAGGTGATGCATCGGCGTTGCTGATGGGGAATATACAGGATTGATATCGTTCAAAAGGGATGAAGCAAGTTCTCTGCTTAGAATGAAGAGAGACTGGAGATTGATGGGACAGCAATATATAAACGGAATAAATGTACCGATGTTGCATGTTGGTGAGTCTCTCTGAGGCTGTGATGAGCTATTTGGTTTGACGGAATAAATGGCTGCTTTTCGGAGTATCTATCGATACTGAATGAGCGGTCGGAACCAATTGGAAAACCTTTGGCTTCGGAGGAAACAATGCCAGAGTCTTGCTGCATCACACCCAAGTGACCATAACCTATTTGGTTCCATATGAGTGATATTTAAGCACCGCACAAACAAGGAGCATCTTTCGATTGCGGGTCAGACTTTTGAGTCAAAGGCTCCGGTTAGGGTTCCAAAGAAAAACCTCTTTGTCTGTATGGGCTACCGCGAAGTATGCCGTGCCCTCAAGTGTTAGGTACCCATTTGGAAAACCATCTTTCCCATCTGTCTAGTCCTTCTTCTCAATCCCGAATATTTCCGGGTGCCTCCTGCTTACGAGACCCATCGCACATCACTCAGCGCTCAACTAATAAGGTCAACCAATCAGAGGCTATCAGATTTTTGAAACCAAAATCTCCTTTCCACTTAGCCGCACTCAATGTCCGCACACTCTACCAGATCGGTCAACAAGCCGCCTTAGCCAGAACCCTTGAAACCTTCCATTTAGATGTATGCTGTGTCTCCGAAACATGCATACAAGATCCTACTTCAGTCATCTCCCTCCGTTCTCCAGATCCGGCCTCATCCTCAAGCTTCACTCTCCGTGTGTCAGGCGATTCGGCATTCGAAGCTCGCGGTGTTGCTGGCGTTTGGATTGCGCTAAGTGTCAAGGCCGAGCGTTCACTTCTCGAATGGATCCCGGTTAACAGCCGACTTTGCGCCGTACGTCTGGATGGTTCAGTACGCATCAACAGCTACAGAACGAAGCGTCGATGCTTATTCGTCGTATCCGCGTATGCACCGACCGATTGCAGTTCACCAGAAATAAAGGATGAATTCTACAAGGACCTCTCTCTACTGCTCCAAAGCGCTTGGTCAACGGACATCGTGGTGGTCGCTGGAGACTTCAATGCTCAAGTGGGATCCCTGGAGGAATCAGAGAGGTTACTTGGTGGTCCGCATGCAATCCCAACCAACAGGACTGACAACGGAGAACGCCTACTCCAACTTTGTGCTGACCACGGACTGTTTCTGTCAAGCACGAACTTCTCGCACAAAAAACGGCACCGCCTTACATGGAGACCGCCAACTTCTTCACAGCGCTGGACTCAAATCGACCACATCGCCATCAGCCACCGCTGGAGAGGATCCATTGAAGACTGCCGCTCCTACTGGTCAACACCCGTAGACACGGACCATGCTCTGCTACGAGCGAGATTCTCCCTACGCCTGATAAACAACCGCAGAAAAGCCGCCGAAAACGGATGCCCACAATACACTATCACCGACAGTTGCAAATCGGCCTTCGAAGCGGAACTATCAGATCGCCTCTCAACTCAACCATCAGCCGGAGGACTCAGCGAACACTGGTCGGCAATCAAGGAAGCGATCCAAATTTCAATCAAAACAACGGCGAACTCTGGCGCACGATCAAAGCAAAAACGATGGATCTCCTCAACCTCGGTTGCCCTGATGGACGCTCGCAAAGCCATTCCATCGGATTCAAGATACGACAAAGCGCGCAAATCCCTTAAACGCCAGCTCATCAAGAGTCTGAGGAATGACCGCGAGAAGTGGTGGGTAGGAAAGTGTAGAGAGATGGAGAAGGCTGCGGCTATTGGTAATAGTCGCAATCTTTTTCGTTTAATTAGGAGTACAGGACCAAGGAAAGCAGGCGTAAGTGAGGTAATTAAGGAGTCTGACGGCACACTGATTCAAATTCAGGAACGTCGTCTTGAACGTTGGGCAGAACATTTTAAGGCACAGTTTAGCTGGTCCCCTTCGACACAAGACTTTCCCCCATTCGATTCAACTGTGCAAATACTGCCAGTTGACATCAGTCCTCCATCTGAAATGGAGGTTACCCGGGAAATAAGTCACCTCAAACGGCATAAGGCTTCCGGCCCCGACGGGCTGTCCCCATCCGTTTTTAAGAATGGAGGCTCAGCCTTGGTTTTGGAGTTAACAAAACTCCTGGGCTCAGTGTGGGAAAAGGAAGAGGTTCCAACTGAATGGTGTGAATCGGTGATCATACCGATTTACAAGAAAGGTGACAGATCCTCCTGTGAAAACCACAGAGGAATTAGTTTAATCAATATTGCCTCTAAACTTCTCGCCGGTATCATACTCCGTCGATTGTCTGCCGCACGTGAACGGTGTACGCGTGAGAACCAGGCCGGGTTCCATACTCCGTCGATTGTCTGCCGCACGTGAACGGTGCACGCGTGAGAACCAGGCCGGTTTCAGACCTGGTCGAGGCCGTACTGACCACATTTTCACACTCCGTCAAATTCTAGAACATAGACACTCCTTTCGTAGACCCACGGTTTTTACTTTCCTCGATCTAAAAGCGGGTTCCGACTCAGTCGACTGTTCTAAACCCCGGCGCTGCTTTTCCCTGAAGGGTGTACCCGAGAAGTTAATTTCAATATTATAATTATAATAATAACCGAAGCCAAATCCGGGCTTGCGGTACTTTTTCACCCGACTTCACCAAGAAAAGTGGTGTTCGACAGCGTTGCCCTCTCCCTTTGTTCCTATTTAATTTTGTTACAGATTGGGTTGATCCAGCACCCAGTCTCACCCTAACCGAGGAAGTGGTAGAGGAAGTAGACAAATTTTGCTATCTAGGCAGCTATATCTCACCTGGCGGACGCATCACAGATGAAGTGCCGGCGCGCATACAGAAGGCTCGATTGGCATTTGCCAACTTGAGACATCTGTGGCGCCGTCACGACATCCGGCTGTCTGTGAAGGGTCGGGTCGGGTGGCAGTTTGGCCAGTGCTACTTTACGGCGCAGAAACTTGGCCACTAAGGGGAATAGGATAAAGATAGACTGTCGGTGTTCGAACACCGCTGTCTACACGAGTCTGGTGGGGTAACCGGACGAGCAATGCTGAGGTTAGTCACAGAGTTTTAGGCATTCGCGGTCGTCCACTAGAGCAAGTGATCGACCTCCATAGATTACGTTGGTTGGGACATGTGTTACGCATGTCACCAGATAGGTAATCATGGCGAGCTATGTTCGCCGAGGCAGGTAGTGGGTGGAAGAAAGTCAAGTATGGTCAAACTAAGACCTGGAATGAGGGTTTGAAAACCCTAACCAGGAGACTAGGTCACATGGGCCCCATTAGACTTCCTGGCTGGGGACCTCGGGATGATCATACCCGATGGTTAAAGACACTGAGTGATATGCCTGGGTGTCGCAAACAGTGGCGTTCGTGCATCCACTCGTTATTTTCCTAACCCCACTCTATATGAATTCTCCATCTTCCGATTGAATTTGCTTCGACATTCCAATCTTCTTTTCGCTCTTTTATCCAAATGGGCAACCGAAAGACAGCAAACAAAACCGGCGAACGAAAGTGCATGGTTAATGGTTGTAACAACTGAACTGAACTGAACTTCGATTGCAATCGATCATAGAAGGAATCTTTACTCAACGTCAGTCGTCTTGGTGTGTGCACGAAACGGGTGCAGTCGAATTTTCTCGTTGTATCAATACTTTTATTGTAGAGGTTTAGCTATTATCAAAGAGATGGTGACGTACCAAATTCGAATGAAGGGAAACTATGTACCGTTCAGGACATCAAGTTGTGTGATAGCATCTCGCTGTGCTACGAGAATCATGAGCACAGGAATAGGTGATAAAACAAATTTGTGTGATTTTTTCCATGGAGCGACCTTTTCATTTTCAGAGCAACACTGTATTTTCCTTGTTCATCCAATCAAGATTACTTCGAAAGGGCTTGAACGGACGAATTTCTATCGCTTCCGCTGTGAGTCTGCCTTGGTGATTAACTGTACATCTCACCCCGAGGGCGGATCCCCCGATCACGACCATAAAGAATGGCTTGGGCTAAGTGTGAAACCATTGATTTAGCGGTTTCAGTGTCCACCGACTCAGGATGCTTTTCACGAAGTGTGCACTTGGAGAATCGTTTTAACAAGGATTCTATGTACTTTCTACTAAGGGAAAAAGGAAATGAGTACACACATAATGAACTGAGTCATGCATTTTACTTCTGGTCATCAAGACATGAATGGTCTAGTTTGGAAGTCTATCACAATGAGAAAATGAAGTTATTGCACGCTGTTCACTCATTGCCAGTATTTTGTTCCTCTTGATCGTCCAGCACATGCAAGCTATAAAAAAGGCAAGCCAGCGAAGCAGAAAGTACAATTTATCATCGTTTTTTCCGAATCATAAACACCAAATCCTGGCATTTAAACAAGACAAGATGAACTGCGAAAATGATAGATCGTATACGAAACAATGGCAGAAAGTGACTATCCATATATATCGATTCATTATTTCGTAAAAAGAGAACTTACATTGAATCCACCGGTTTATGCTCAGGCGGACCGAGGTGGGCCAATAAAGTCACCATGCGGTCAAATGGTTGACGACCCACAGCCTTTCGATCCCTACAACCGAAGGAACGACGGATTACTAAGACGATCTGATCTTTCATATAGATGCTAGTGGAAGACGAAAAAGGTCAATTTGGCACAAAATCAGGAAATCCGAAAAGCACCTAAAGTACACCCTTATCAAACGTGAACAGTCGGGACATTCAGAGGAATGAAAAGGCGAGGTGTGATGAATAGCACATTTGGTGATCGAGACTATGTTTGTTAAAGAACTCACTAGTCTGAAATTCCCTGTTACATTAAAACCAAATCACCAGTTACACGCGACAAAAGTAAACTTCTAATGAAATTATAGCACCACTAACAAATCCACGCTGGACGAGATATACATTTCAGTTTGTACAACCGTTACCCACGCAGATTCGTGCGCCGGTTTTGGTTGCTGTCTTTTGGCTGCCCATTTGGATGAACACAGGGAGAAGGACAGAGAAGTTGAAAGCGGAGTCGAAAAGAAAATGGAGAATTGCAGTGGTCTGAGGATGCAAAGAAATTGAGAAGATGCACGAACGCCACTGTTTGCGACACCCAGGCATATCACTCAGTGTCTTTAACCATCG